TTGAATTCATAGAAGATGACGTCGGCGATAATGATGCTGCAGACCCAAGCTGATGATGCTGCAGTTATCTGCGGCATAGAAAAATATTTAATTGCCCACAGACCAGTGGCATACACTAGAGGGGGTAAACCAACACTTTCATGAGAATTTCATAATTAGTTTTTACTTTTTTAAAGTCCCCTCTTTAAAGTCTTGCTATAGCATAGTGCGTTGAGCCATTCCACTGGCTCTTTCCAGCCCCGACACTCGAGAGGGTGTGTAATTAATTAATGCAAAGACTCTAAAGCTCAATTAATGAAATTTTATTTAATTATCGACGGGCGGTCGTTCGCTTTCCCCGCAGCACCTAAAACGGTCGCCGAGAATTCCCAGAGAATTCGCAATTTGCTTCGACTGACGGCCATCGTACGTGTGGCTTCGTCGAGGACCATTAGAAGCAGGATCTATTCTACTGGGTCCTTGGTACGGTTCCCTTCCAGGCCAACTACTTTACAGTTGGCCTCATTTGTGGGTCACATGCAACAGTTAGTCGTAACCAGGCGGCAGCATCGTGACTTGCCACATCGATCAATATTGTGTGTACGTTTTATTCTCGCACAGTGCGTACTGAAGCAACTGGCTTTGGTCCCGCTCGGCAATTAGTCTTCGGGGAGGAACTTGCTGTCCTTCATTTATATGGCAATTAAATTCCGCATCGAAAGCGGGTGTGGGTTGCCGGGTGCGGGTATGATGGTGTCTTGAGTGAGTGGCTTTGCTACATTGCGATGAATGCGATGATTTATGGCCTCCGGAATGGAATAGTCTTGCCTGGACGTAAGTGTTCCTCTTTGAATTGGTAATGAGATATTTCAGTTGGCAAATTGCAAATTCTATGACCAGAATAAAGGCAAGGCTTATCTATGAGAAATAGTATAAACTTTATGTAAATAAGTAGCATTTTGGGAGGTCTTGCTGGAAATGTAACACTTTTAATGGGAATGTTATGATTTAGGGGAAAATATTTCTTCAAGAATTTGAAATTGGACTGAGAACCTTTAAGAGGTACTTCATTTACTTTGCAAAGATAATATTTGTTGTAAAAACTAGTTGTTAACTAATATTTAAATTTTTTAGTAAAAGACTCAAATATATGTAGTTTTCAACATTGCCTGCTCCTTCAACTCTTAGTTAATAAAAATGTGAAGGAACAAGGCTTAAGCTGGAGCAGCAAAGATATCGATTAAAAATTCAACAAGAAAGAAAGCTAACTTCGGCACGCCGAAGTTTGTATACCCTTGCAGATATTATTTCATTACATGTTACCTATACTTATTATGTTTACAGTTTGACAGTTACAGTTTTGCATTCCCAGCTTTACATTTTGTATACATCTACCGATCGGTTTATATGGCAGCTATATGATATAGTTGTCCGATTTTTATGAAATTTATACCAAAATTCTAGAACAATAAAAAAAGCCTATATCTCAGAGTAAATACAAATACGTTGAAAAACAACGAAGCTATAATTTTTTTCCTATTAATTTCCCGATCGTTCCTATGGCAGCTATATCATATAGTCCGATTTTCATAAAATTTTTACCAAAATTCAGAAATAATATAAAATGGCCATATGGTGCAAAAATATTGAAAAACAGCAAAGTTATAATTTTTTTCTAAAAATTTATCGGACATTTGTATGGCAGCTATATGATATAGTCGTCCGATCCGGCCCGTTCCGACATATATAGCAGTGAGAGTATATAGAAGACTATATGCAAAGTTTGATTCAGATAGCTTTTAAATTGAGGGACTAGTTTGCGTAGAAACGGACAGACGGACAGACGGACATGGCTAGATCGCCTCGGCTGTTGATGCTGATCAAGAATATATATACTTTATAGGGTCGGAGACGTTTCCTTCACTGCGTTGCAAACTTCTGACTGAAATTATAATACCCTGCAAGGGTATAAAAATTATAAATGAGAGTCCCGCTCGGCTTTGCCTTCGATTGCGATGCATACGCTCTCTGATTTGGAAGACGATCTAATTTTTTCAGAATGTTTTTCCAGGGTAAAAATATAGTTTATCAATAATGAATTTTTTTAATTGGCACAGTAGTTTTTTTAGTTTGCTTAAAGCATGCATAAATAAAGTACAACTGTTGAATCTTAATTTTAGTAGTATAATACAAACATTTAAATAAAAACTAGTCTTTTAACTATAGAATATTAGGAGCAAACTTGATTTTAAATTGCTTCCATATTGCGTTGTTACTATTTTCGAAATGATATTGTTCATTTGTATAACAGTTAGATGATATGGTGATCCTATTCGGGGCATTCTGACAAAGTTACCTGAAAAAGGTAATGCAATTATAAATGCATAAACGAAGATTTTGCCAAGTTTTCTTAACAACAGTCACTCAAATAGAAATGTTTGATTGATGTCACTCCGTAGTGCGATAAAATATGAAAAGATTATATAATGTTAAGGATGCCTCCTTTTCTTCTACTTCTCTTTTTATAACCTTGTCCCTCTAATTTTAAGTTATCTGACTACTATATATGTCAGAATGGGCAGGATCAGACGTCTATATCATATAGTCGCATTAAAAACAATAGGATAATTTGTAAGAAAACACTTTAAGCATATTTTTATTTACTCTGAGACATGGCCATTTTGTATAATTTCAAAATTTTTATTTCAATTTTATACAAATCGGACGACTATATAATATAATTATCAGAAGAATTTAGAGAAAAATGTAAAGCTGTAAATGTAAAACTGTAAATAATATTAAATATTTCATATCTGAAATATTGTTATTTATATGTTTTATATCCTGTTAGTTTTGAGTCGATTCTTAACGAGCCAATTGAAAACTTCACGGGTATACAAACTTCGGCATGCCGAGGTTTGCTTCATTTCTTGTTTATTCCTAAATTATGACTTAAATGACAGGAATTTTCTTAAAATTGTACACTTCTACATTACATTTATAGAGGTATCTTTAAGGGGGTCTTCTCATTGGGCAACTTTTTTTTCGATTTTTTTTTTGCATTTATTTATAGCTTGGGATGTTGTGTATATGTCCCCAAAAGGATTTTTAGAAATTCGAAATACTTTAGAAGATACAGCCTTTTTTGTGAAGCAAGGTCTTCGCAAAATGAGCTTTTTTCAAACTTCAAACGCGTTTATCTCGAAACCACGTTATCGAACTGGCGGCCATGATATCTCCAGTTCAACTGAACCGATTTTCATGAAACAAAGTGGAATCGACGCATAATTGTCACCATTCTCGGGTGACGGAACAGATTTAAAAAAAAATTTTTTTTTTTTTTTTTTTATATATTTTTTTACACTAAACTACAAAAAAAAGCCCGAAATCGAAAATTTTTTTTGAATGGCCGCCATTTTGTTTAAAAAAATTTTAAAAAAATCTGTTCCGTCACCCGAAAATGACATCTATTCTGATTATAACACCGTTTTTTTTTTTTCATTTTTGACGCTCTGGAGACCCTGAATCGTGGCCGCCAGGACGACACCTTTTTTTTCGATCACCAAGTTTGAAGTCTCATTACTCTTTGAACAACCCTCGTATCGAGGCAAGAACAACTTTTTAGTTACTTTGAACATTTTTGAATACAATAAATAAAAAAAGTTTTCAATTATTCTTTGCGTTTTCAAATAAGAATTTTTTTAAAGAGGGTCCAAAAAACGGCTTTTGAGTGAGAAGACCCCCTTAAAGTAATTAATTTTAGTTTGAATATAAAATGTATTATATTATAATATTATTTATCCCTATGGAGGATTAAACTCAAGTAAAGAAAATTTTATAAAATTACTCTACTTCTGAACTGTTCATAATCTGAATATAATGTTCAAGTAGAACACTTAAAGAATCCTCTTACCACTTTTCATGAGCTTAGAACCCATTGATTAGCCTCTTACATAAGTTGTAATTAGCCCCACCCGGCATACACTTTGAGTTTTGCTTCATCACCTCATCACCAAACCGATTAGAACAAGTTAATTACGGTAATCGGCTCAGAAAGTTGTCCAAAGCGTGACATACCTAGGTTTTCTGTGCATTCCGTGTCCTGTCAAGTTTTCACAAGCCCAGTTCACCTGTCAGCTTGCATAGAACATAGAAAATCCGTCAAATCGGGTAATATATTGCAGTAATTACTTACCGCCGAATAAAACACAAATCGATCAGTAATTACACGCAAGCCGCTGCCAATTCATTTAATTGTCTGCTCAAGGCGGCCATCAATCAGAGACTTCTTCCAGCGAGCGATGCAAATTGCTTTCGTCCAGATTGAGTTGCGGTTTCACACAAAACTAACAAATGACGCACACAAGAAGGTGGTACAAAATATCGCAGCACAGAAAAAAGTATTTGCAAAATGGGGAATAAAATTATTAAATATTACTGTAGGTAAAAGTTATTTATTATCTTTGTACGCTTTCGTAATAATAACATATGATAAAATTTCCCTACCTATTCACACACAAAATATACAAGTATAGTATTTCCAATTTAATTTTTTTTTCATTTCCATTGGTTTAAAATTAAGTAGTTGAAATACTTAATTATTTATATTATTTACACATGATTTATTAGAATAAAATATAAATTTGTTCCTGTGTAATTCGATCTCTATATGCTGACCAGAGCTCGCCTCTCAGAGATCCAGGCACAAAACTGCAAGCGACGTCTCCGCTAATTGATTTCGAGCGAGTGATTTGGCACGTTTTGTTGCAGTTCATTAGCGAAGTTGGACTGCGCTGAGTTGCGTTTTGGGTTGGGCCCTTGCCATAGACAAGACTGGGGCCTGGATTCCGCAAGTTGCGTTCCATAGTCTCTTTGGGCTGGGCCTGGGTCTGGCGCGATGGCCTACAATCTGACATTAAAGCCAGCAGACTTGGCTCGAGGTTAACGAAAGAAAGAAAGTTGGCAACGATTTTGGCACTAATGGATCTAACCACCTTCCACTTCTCTTTTCCCCCCTTCAGATGAACGACAGCACATACAGAAGAAAACCTTCACGAAATGGATCAATTCACATCTCATCGATACCCAGTGCACGCCAGTGAAGGACCTGTTTCTGGACCTGCGGGACGGACACCGCTTGCTGGCCCTGCTCAGCACCCTGACACAAACACAGCTGGTTAGTATATATAATTTATGAATAATGATGGGTGGCCCAGGTTCGAGAGATTTATTGGGTCGCACAAGAGACTTAAGAGGGTCCAAGCTCTTTCCTTGTTTTTTATTTTTGCTTAGAAACATATTTAACGTTTACAATAATTCTGGCTAAAGTTATACAATCTAAAATTATATATATAGGCAAGAGTATAAAAGTAAAATAAAACAAATTATTATATATAAATTATACCAAAACTCTCCAAAATAAGAATTAGTTTCCAATTGATTCCCAAAAATAACTGTCTGAAAGTTTCCTTTTATTAGTGAAAATATAACTTAACTTCAGACTTCTTACTTGCTTGTTCTGGTTAAAGTTAAAATATTAAATCCGTGTTGCATTTCGGTTTTTTTTTTCAGAAACCCGAAAAGGGTCGCATGCGAGTGCACCACATCAACAACTTGAACAAGGTGATCCACGTGATCCAGCAGCATGGCGTTAAGCTGGTGAACATCTCTAGCGACGACATAGTGGGCGGCAATGCCAAGCTGACCCTGGGCCTCATCTGGTTGATAGCGCTGGAGTTCAATGGCCAACATCTAGTCAAGAGTCATTCGAGCAACGGAGTGGAAAAGTCCCTATTGGCCTGGGCTCGGCAATACACGGAGCCCCATGGCTTGCCGCTCGGCGATTTCTCCAGTTCCTGGGCCGATGGACGGGCCTTCCTCATGATCCTGGATGCGCATGTGGGGGAACTGAATCTGCAGGCGGCTCTGCAACAGCACGCCCTGCAGCGTCTCCACCTGGGATTCGATTTGGCGCACCGGCACTTTAAGATCGAAAAGTTGCTAGATCCCGAAGATGTTCACACACACAAGCCGGATAACAAGTCGATCCAGATGTACGTGATGTGTTTGTACCACGCTATGGAATCGATGAGGACCCGAGAGCAGGATCAGGACCAGGAGCAGGATCAAGATCCGGGAAGAGTGCCTTGCACAAGCATCACGGACTTGGATGAGGTGCCACTGGACAATGATCGCGCCAGCTTGGGGATTTACACCTCTGATAGTGCTGGCAGCATGGACCAGAGATCTTCGGAGGAACTGAAGGGCTCCGCCATGCGACCTTTGAGCACTGCTACCAATGCTAGTGTGGAGATCAGCGGCTACCAGACAGCTCTGGAGGCGGTACTCACCATGCTTCTGGAGGATGAGCAGCTGCTCTCGCAGGATCTACCCGATCCGCAAGACTTCCAGACAGCCAAGCTGCAGTTCCACGAAAACGAAAGCTTCATGCTTAAATTGACGGAACACCAGGAGTACGTCGGCGAAGCTCTCGAGGAGGGAAGCAACCTTATCAACGAGTCCCAGAAGGCGGGAGCCGGTCTCAGTCAGGAGGATCAGAATGAGGTGAGGCAGCAGATGGTGTTGCTCAACGAACGCTGGGAGACCCTAAGATTGCGAGCTCTGGACGTCCAGGCGAAGATCCTAATGCGGCTGGCCGAGTTCCAGAAACAGAAGCTCGAGCAGCTGCGCCAGTTCCTTACCAGCGTAGAGGACCGTATTTCCCACATGAGCGATATAGGACCCACCCTGGGGGAGGCGGAAAAGCAACTCCTAGAGGCCCGCCAGCTGAAGTCAGACCTGAGCGAGCAACAGGAACTGGTGGACAGTCTCAGCAGCATGGTGGTCATTGTGAACGATACTTCCGGTAACTTTAATGATCTTGAAGATCGGTTGAGTGCCCTGGGAGAACGGTGGTCGCACGTAGTCAAGTGGAGCGATCTCCGAACGGAGAAACTGCAGCAGTATAAGTGCATATCGCGGTGGCTGGATGCTCGGGAGCAGGATCTTAAGCTGATGGAGAGCCGGGATGTGACCGACGTGGGCGGCATAACGCAACGCATCAATGAACTGAACTACTGTGCCAAGGATCTGCTGGAGCTCCAGAGATACCTCATAGATCTGCGACAAATGGTGGCTGCTACCCTGCAAGATGGCGACGACAAGGGGGAGCGGGTTCTGGTCCAGCTGGAAAGCTACGAAGATCGCCTGGATGCCTTAAAGCAAATTGTCGAGGTGCAAACCGTGCGAATCGAGACAAAAGGCTTTAACTTCGGACGCGATCGAGCCAGCTACGACGATAGTCGGGTAGTGCGTCCGGAGGGATGGCTGGACTATCAAATGATCATTAGGTTCGGTGATGAGGAAGCTGAAGAGGAGGAGGAACACGATTTGGCCAGCAAAAAACGTAAGCTACGGAATGCCGACAACTTCTACGCGCTAGAAACTCAGATCGTGGAGCATTTTGCCCACGTCCAGGAGGTGGAGCAAAAGCTGCAGCAATTGCAGAGGCAAAGTCTCCGGCAGCAGGTCGATGTGCTCAAGGAACTGCAGGCGGAAACAAGCCGACGCAGTGGTACTCTGCCGGAACTAAAAAAGCTCTACGAGGTGTGCGAACTGGAAGATCCTTCGAGGAACCTCCTGCTGGAGGAAACCAATATCAAGCAGCTGGAGCAACGATACTCAGCTCTGGCTCAAAAACTAAGCAGTCAACAGAGTGAGAGCAACACGCTCTTGGCCAAGGAAAAGTATTACAATAGCCTCACAGGATTCAAGTTAGTCCTGGCCGACTCCAGGGATTGGTACAAGCAGCACGCTGGCTCAGCCAGTGGCAAGGAACTGGAGCAGCGTCTCAGCCACATGGAATCTCTGGCATCGGAGATTTCGGAGGCCAAGACGGCCACCGAGGAATTGGACGACCAATTGCTGGAATGGAAGCAGGACTTTGGCCTGTTCTACGACAGTTGGCACGACATGAAGCACGCTCTGCAGGCTTTGATCCAACAAAGGGGTGGAGAAAGCCTCTCCAGGCAGTTGAAGCAAGTGCAAGACTTTGTGGCCAAGGTGTCCAACCAAAAGGTTCGAGTTTCCAGTCTGGAAGTAATGCAGAAACAACAGTATTTGCTGAATCAATTGCTGGACGAACTAGAGTCCCTCCGTCCTACCTATGATCACTTGCCCCGGCACCTGCTCAGCGAGGAACTGCAGGCCACCTGGCAGAGACTTCCGGAGCAGCTAAACGAGCGTGTGATCAAGCAGACTACGGCTATTGAGAATTTAAACCACTTTACAGCGGAATACAATGCCATTATAGCCATACTGCGAACTGCTTCGGACAAGAAGTCGGACGGAAGTGAAGGTACTGGAAGCCAGGACCTCCGCAAGCTGGAGATCGATGTAATCAGCGCTAGGAACTTTAGTGAAATTTTGATCAAAGATGCGGAACCTGGCCAGAAGGAATCCCTGCAATCGCAGATAAGAGCTCTGAATGCTCTTTACGACCAAGTGGAGCAGCTGCATCGTGAGAAGAAGCAACAGCAGTCGGCCCTTCAATCCCAGATCGAGCTCATCCAGCAGCGACTGAAGCAAACGGATCACTGGCTTACTGAGCTGGAGACCAATACACCCAAGTCTGGGATAAGCGATATAGGCAACTCCAACGAGCTCTTCCAGAGCAAGAGTCGCTTCCAGACACTCAAAGAAACCTGCGAACGGGAGACAGTCCAGTTCAGGGAGCTCAACGAGCTGGGCGGCGAATTGCTACTCCAAATGGACGAGCTGCAGGACAAGGACAAGGAATCCAGGTACGGATCGCTGGCCAAGCAGTTTACCCGCCTTAACGCCCGTTGGACGGAGGTCACCGAGCGGGTCTATGCCAAGACCGCTCTGCTCGAGCATATATCCACGCAACTGGGCGAGTTCAAGAAGTTCATGGTGAGCGAGACGGGTTACCTGGACAGGTTGGAGAACAAGATACGCAACACTCCCGAGAATGCAGCGGACGCGGAGGAGATTATGGAGGAACTTGATGTGAGTGTGACTGATTTCTATTATAAATTTTATGATTAATTCTATATATTTTATGACCTTTTAAATTAGGATCTGGAGAATGTCCTGCGCTCGCACTCTGAGGAATGGCTGGAGAAGATTCAGGAAATTGGCGCTGAGCTAATTGACAACGAATTCATGGCCGACTCCATGCGCGGGGATATCGATGGCATTGTGCAACGGTGGACGCAGCTCCAGCAGCAGGCCAAAAAACGCACCGAGCTTCTAGAAGAGAAGGTCAGCGAGGCGGAACAGTCAGAGAAATGCATTGTGCAATTCGAGGCGTGGCTGACCCGGGTGGATGAGATTCTCAGCGATCATCTGGAAAACGATGTGACTATTGAGGATCTGCCAGAGGATTTTCAGGTAGCTATCAAAGATTAGGTTCCTAAATTAAGATTGTTATTGTATTTAATTTCCTTTTCTTAACAGCGCTTGGCTCGTGAATTTGTGGCCAATGAGCAAAACTTCAAGGAAATTCCTGAACTTATTGCCGAGCACACGAGGAATGGCAAGATCGGAGCCGCCAATCGGCTCCAGGAGCAGCTCAATCTGATGGAGCTCAGGTTCAAGGCCTGCCAGGCCAAGCTCAGCAAGTGCACCGCCCCCCAGCCTGCCTACGAATCCCGATTAAATCGGGCCTATGGTGATCTACGGAATGTGGAGCGATCCACCTTAGTTCTGGATGTGGCTTCTGCCGGACCCAGCACAGTGCAGGCGCAGTATCAAAAGTGCTTGGTAAATATATAGAAAAATATTAAATAAAATGTTTATATTTCAGACGTTTTCTTCCCCAGCAAATTTACCGCACTTTGTCGGAGATCAAGGCGGAGATCGAAAGCACGATCAAGACAGGACGAAGGGTGTGTGAGGACAGGTACACCAAGTCCCCCAAGCAGCTGAGCCAGCGGATCGATGCATTGAAGCACCTGTACAATGCACTCGGCGAGAATGTGACCCAGTCGAAGGCCTTCCTCGAAAGCTTGCTCACTTTGGCCAGGCAGCTAGAGGAGTGCTTCGATTTGGCGGACACACTCATCCGTCGCTTTGAGTCGCCGCAGGAGGTGCACGACCGCAACTCCATACTGCTGGAGTTCGAGGATGTGCTGCGAAGGTGCGAAGCGCAATACAACGAGTATAGCAAGTCCTGTGACCAGAGCTGCATGGTTGACACCCGCCAGCGGATCGACGGATTGAAGGCTGTTTACCACAAGCTGACCAGTGCTGACATCATCAAGCGGCTGCGGGAGATGAAGGCCACCCTGCAAAATCTGGACAACATTTCCCTGGAGACCTTAAAGTGAGCAAAGAATTGAGGGTTGCACCATCCAGTTTTAGAACAAGTATTTAATATTAGTTTACTTATATTTCCTGGGTTTATAGATAGTGATTTGAAAACGTCTATGTTGTTCTGCAGTTTCATTTAATTGTTAAAATAGAAAAACATTCGATATCCCGGCTGGTGCAACACCTAATCCATTTTTCTCACGCTGTACTAATGCCAATTGTATTGCAGAGCAATGGAGCATGACCTGAAGGAGATAAATGTGCCTTCGAATCCGGAAATTGAGAAACTGCAGCAGCAAGTAATTGCAATTGTCGTGGTGAGTCTGAGCAAGCAAACAAATCTTCTTAATTACGCCAAGCTTCTTCTTCCGCTCTGTCTCACCAATCCTCCTGTCCTCTCACTTTTAAATTATGTAAGCAACATCCTTTCTTTTATTCTGTGTCTGTGTTGTGTCTATCGGTTTTCATTTTTCCCTTCTCCCCGGTATGTGTGTCTTTATTTGCTTACCTCACATTTCGCTTTTACATCGGACACCCATCGCACCTCATCTCATCTCTCATTCCCCCGGGACTGCAGCAGGCTGGCTGCTTCTACTTGAACACCTTTTGGCCTGGCTCAAAGCGAATGGAATTGGGTTTCCTTTTCTCTCAGCTTTTACTTCTGTTTCACATCATTCGATTTATCAGCATGAACAGAGAACTAATGTAAAATTTAAATCGTAGTCAATGGCAGAAGAAATGGGATAAGATTGACATTTCTGTAAACAGCATTTAAAGGGTCTATAAATATTTGCATCGCCTTTTCACATCTTTGGAAGTTTAAGTTGAAGTTTAAATTGAACTGAAGAGTTGAGGTTTTTCTTTATTTATAGAAGTTTTAACAAATTTAAGAAAGTTTTAAACAATTTAGTATACATTCAATTTTAAAATCTTTAAATGTAAATTTCATAATGATTGAAAATAGAGTTTGAACTTATCTTTTAGAAAAATACAAAAAAAGGCATTTAATTATACTGCTAAATATAATTCTCTTCAAAAATGTATAGTTTTACGGAATTTTTCGTTAGTTAGTTCTTAAATAAACGCTTTAAATTTAACTTAATGTTACTACTAAGTAATCCTTTAGGCCTCTAAAACACTATCCTACAACTAATTAGACCTTAACCACTTACTACTCTACATAAACTGCTACTATTATTTACTCTGGCTGTAATATACATATTTATTTTACCCAACTCATAATTGTATTTATTTTGATAATTCCATAAACCATTAAAAAATGTTTTCACATAAAAAAAGATCTAATCAAGAACCTACCACATTTACCAGTGTGTGTAAGTGGCAAATCCACCATATCACCCCAGCTAAAGAACAAACCATAATTACTATAAATACTCAAACAAACCAGAAATCACCGTATCACTAGAGCTCTACGGGGTCTAACTTTGGTGTCATTTTCACGCTTCCAATTTTTAATGTGTAGAGTTTTATACCTGAATATCCCCTCTAATTGTTGTTGTTGTGGCGTTCAATTGGTTGCGGCTGCGTCAAATGTCCAAACCATGTATCCCAAAATCAACATAAAACGTAATCCTTCCAAACCACCGCTCACCACCACCAACACCGCTCACCGTCAAACCAGCGCTAATAAATGGCCACCGCTTTTTAAATGGAGAGTTGTACCTAAATGTAAAAATATACCTACATAACTTTGCACCAAGGCTTCATGGGCTTTCAGAAATGCATTTCCTTAGCTTTGAAGAGTTTGGAGGGAGCTTGTAGTGTCTTGTAATTTATAGCAAACTATGCGTTTATTGTGCAGGATGCGCTAAAGACGCGTTTCAATGAAGCCACAACGCTGGCTCCACAAAAGTCTCCAGTCGCGGATGATGACACGGAAATAGTGGTGGTCAGCGATACGGTGCGACAGCGACGAGCGCGAACTCCGCAGTCAGGGGAATCCCCCTCATCGACCAACACCAGCGCCTCACAGTCGCCAACGAAAGCCGTAGAAGCGGCCACGAGTGGCGACCAAGTCTTGCCCGATGTCCTGCCCCCGCAAACATTCCGCTTGGCCGAGTCCAGTACATTGTTCTCCCAGATCTCCCTGAATCCCGACAAAGTCTCCAAAACTCCACCCCCCAAACCGGCGAAAACCAAACGAAAGGCTCCGACCTCGCCCGCCCAAGTTGTGGAGATTAAGGTGAAGAACATCCAGAACGACAAGATGTCAGTGCAAAATATCGCCCTGGAACCTCAGCAGGGTGAGATCGTGGACACCGTCAATATACTGGAGAGTGTGGAGCCCTTTGTCCCCGAGTATGTGGAGACCGTGCAGATTGTGGATCTATCCGAGGACTCTGACTCATCGGCTCGAGTAGATAGCGATGGCAAGGAGGTGCGACGCTCGAAGAGCAAGCATTCCCTCAACGACTCTCCGCTGCCAAGGGTTTCGGATAATGACGAAGAGGAGGAGAAGGGCCTGCTCCGTCCGGAAGCGGGCAATACAAGCACCCCCTTCCTGCGAGTCGAGAAGCATCGCATCTCCTTTGACGAGAAGCGCAAGCGAATAGCCAACGAACGAGATATCCTGCGTGATTCCGAGGAGGAGGAACCCAAAACGCCAGATACTCCCAGGACGCCGCAGGTCTCGGTCTCTAAGCCGAAGCGCTGGCGCCAACTACAGCCAGAATTGGATGCCTTGGAGCCGGAGTCACCCGGTCGCGATAGTTTCTATAGTCCCGACAAAGAGTCCGGTTTCGATGTTGAGCCCCTCGTGTTTTCCGACGATGAGGATATACCGCGTTTCTCGCTGGAAATGACACCAACAATTGACTCCGATAGTGATACGGTAATTTGGTTAAATGCCCAGCTAGATTTATATAAGTTTGCCTGCCTTGAAGAGTCGATCCTTACCTGAGAGTGCTTTTCAATGTTTGCCCCCCACAGAGTCGAATTGAGACGAAGCCCAACTCGTTCTTGAGCAAGGTCCTTGACTCGATGCCATCGCCAGCGGATGACTCGAATGTCACCCTGAAGAGTCCCCTCAGTGAGCTGGAGCCGCACACCCTGGACGATCGGGTCCGGGAGTTCGATAAGCAGGCCAAGCAGATGATATACAAGCTGAAGCTAACCAAGGCCAAGATCGAACAGTGCCACGAGAGCGAGGCGTAAGATTCAACATGCATTTAATGACCTATGTAATTACAAGCAAATTTAATAGGGATGATCTCCGCCTGCTGATTGCTCCGGATGCAGCCACCTTGATATCCCAAGGGGACTCTCTGGTACTGGAGACCCATGGCAAACAGGGAAGCATATCCCGACTGGTGATGCGCACACAAATTATTCTGCGGGAACAGTTCCGCGAAGTGCAGCAAGCGAGGTGAGCGTCTGCCAAAAATCCCATAAATTCTATTTTATTTACAAGACTTGTGTTTCCCATAGATCCAAGACCTCGGGAAGCGGAGCTCCAGCTCCCCCATTGGACAGTGTCAACATCGAGGAACTCGTCACAAAGGGACTGCGTCGCATTAATGTCCTGATAGAAAAGCCCGTTGATCTAAAGTCCAGTGGTGATCTCGAGAAGCGCATGGAGGATATCAACGTAAGTGGCCAAGTCTGGCAAAATGCCAAAATTTGAGGTGACAGAATAGAAAAGTATAATTTCTTAAGACTACAATTAAATAATTCTATTTGAACGCTGCAATTAGTCATTTATTCGGCTTGCTGCTTTGGCCACAAGTTAATTGACCCCCTAAGAATCTTCGTTCCTATATGTATGGTATGTCTATATATGCATGTGCAGTGGCCACAATAGCTAAATGGGCCCATTAGAAGGCCCAAAAATAAACACATCTGACACAGTTACACATCTGTGTGCAGTTGGAGGGCGGTGAGGAGTAAGCAGCTCACAAGTGAACACAATATTTAGTGGGTCACAAATAAGAGAGAGATCGATCAGTCGAGGGACTGAGATTTTCAAAGAGATTTTAAGAGATTCTGTTGCAGTTTGCTGTCTGCCTTCGAAGAGCAATGTGGCTTCTTGTCATGTTTGATTACATTTTCTACATCATTTTCAACATTTTAATGATGGATTGCAACATGAAAAGATTTAATAAGCTGCCATTTCGAATAGAAATCTAATTTTTAATGTTTTAGTTATTTTGTACGATATTTTTAAACTAAATTGTGCGATGATGTTTGAAGATTGAAGTAGAATTATTATTTTAATATAAACAACAGACAAAAATCTATTAAGCTAAGTCACATTGTTTGTCAGAAGTCACCTATATCAGGCTGTTTCTCTCTTCAGCATTTTTCTTTTATTAATGCCCATATGATACAGTAATGCAGTTTTCATTAATTAGCTACTTCATTAGAACCTTGAAAGAGTCAACTATATGTGTAATTTTGTGTAATTTTGCTTGAATTTTGCTTGGATTATTTTGGTAATACGACTACGGTCACACCGACCGTAAAAGGTAAACAAAAAAAACGGCGGCCTTTCGCGGCGTATTATTATGAATTTCTGAATTCCTCGTCGAAGTATTATTGCATAAATAAATGCAGAATCCTTTAAATTTATGTTTTTAACCTATAATGCTTAAAATTTTTTTAATTATTACAAAAAAAATAATTTTAATTAATTTTACAGCGCAAGAACCTTGCTACCGCAAAACATATTATTTTTGCTAATTTTCTAATATATTTTCAGTTCAAAAAACAAGCGAAATGATATAAAAATAAAATTCTCATTGTGAGACCATACTGTCAATGAACTGGCTAATACATTTTTCAATTACAATTTTCTTCATTAAACCCGTATTTTGTTATCGAGTATCTAGTATATAATATGTAGATCTATCGATTACCGCGGCAATGAAGTAGCTAATGCATTATTCTAATGCATTAGAGCGCCATAGAGTCGTCTTGCTCGCACTTGTGTAAAACGCTATAGCGCTGTCAAATCTTTAATGAAGTCTCTAATTAATGCGGCAGTGTCATCCCACTATAAGGAATAGTTGATAGTTGAACATTTGAATAAAAGCTGCTAGAAATAGACAAATATTTAAATGAAACAAATTGACAAATATTCCTATACATTTTTTTATTATTCCCATTTTAAACTCTACAAACTGGCACACACAGAAAAAGCTTGACAAAAAACTAAAGATTTCGTGGCTGGCGAGTCTGGAACATATGATAAATCTAACAGTTTCAGCAAGTTCCATCCCTAGACAACAGAGTCATTAATCACTGCAGTCATTTGTTGTTTATTTTTATTTTTTATTTATTTATTTTTTTATGGCACCCGTGAGCGCAGCGACAAACGCCAGCGCTTCTTAAAAACAAAAAATCGAAAATAGAAAACATTTTGTTTTCTGAGAGGGGCAGAGAGAAGAACACAGAGCGGGAGAGTGGAGCATATGGGGGAAAATGTGAAAATGGGTAAAACTAATTTGAAAGAGGGGCAAATTCCGCCTCTCTTTGCCGGCGAATGTTGGGCCTTTGTTTTTATTTTCATATATTTTTTTTTGTTTGCTCCTCTTCAGTCGCATACGGTCTCTTTTGGACAGCGGTTGCAGTGCTTAAAATATTTTTTACATTTTTTGTTTCTTTGTTTGACTCGTTGATTGATTGTAAATTTGCGAAAAATTGTGTTTGGCGCGAAAAGAAAAATCAGCAGCAGAAATCGGACGACCGTCAACTGCGCTGCAACGGCAACAGTTTGCATCGCGCCACAGTGACGACCATCAAATGCAATTTTGTTGGTTGACAAACGCTGTTCGAGAGGTTGTAGGCCACACACACACTACCTTTCACATTCGCACACCTGAACACCCTCATCCCGCCCACTTGCTTTTGTTCTTTCCGGTGAGAGCGGCGGTTCCCTGCATGATTGCAGTTGAAATTGAATTCCAATCGCCGTTGGCAGCAGCACTTCTCCCAAGCGGTGGCCATTTTGCGTGTATGTGTTTGTACAGCTTCCGTTTCCGCTTAAAGACTGGAATTTATTGTTTACCTAAAGGACTCTTGTTGTACTGCATAAATTTGTGTTTCAATGGCTTAATCGAAGCTTTCTTTTAGATTTCTTATTTTGTATGAGACTGAAAATAAGGTTCTTGAAGCTCTCTCTCCATTATTAAATACATTTGTTTTTTTTTTTTTAATTGTAACTCTAATTAAAATATTTATTAAAAGATATATAATGCATTTTATTCATATTACATTTTAAACTTTATTTATTAGATTATTGGGTGAATATTTTAAATAACTTTGAGGAGGAGACCTTGACTTGTATAATTTTCTGTCAACTTGTATCTATTTTTATCCACTTCTAAGAATATTAATGGGCCCTTAAAATAGTTTTAAAAATTATAACAAAAATAAATAAGTAAATGCATTTCTCTGCTCATTTTGCAGGAGCGCCACGACGATTTACAGGTAATTGTCGGCGCCATCGGCAAGAACGACCAGATGCCGAAGGTCACGCCCCTCATGATGAACGAAATTGAAAAGGTTTGCCAGCGCATACACATCGCAGATCCTAGCTTTCACTTGTCCTCCTTTGCAGACCAAAAACAATTTGATGGCTCATGCGGATTCAATTGAGCTCTCGCTCACGGAACTGAGGAATGGCCCCCGAATTTCGAATGGCAAGGAGCGAGGTGGAGGAGGAGGAGATGCAGCCACCAGGAGTGCCACCATCAGCTGTCGGTCGGGTAAGCCAGCGCCCACTCAATACTCAATACCCAGTACTCAATTGTTTGTAATAGTTTTTATTTCGGGAGCTTGAAGGGATCCCAACCTAGGACAAGGCTGGGCAATGTTACTGTTGATTGCCGGCAAGTTGAATTGTCTTCAAATGTTTGCTTGGATTACGCTCGAGTTCGCTGCTTAAATGAGGGGAAAGTTGGGTGTCAAGTTGACTCTGGCAGAGTGGCACAACTTAAAGGCTAAGGGTTGCTCATCTAGTGTGTTTGCCCTGCTAAAAGTCAGTTTATTGAATGCTGATAGCAATTGCGAATCAGCCATTAAATTGGAAATATAAATTGCTGAACCTAATAAGCTGGCTTAGGTGTTGCTTGAATATTTCAGTACTCGTTTAATTGAATCTATCTATTAATTAATTGACGTAGTCAATTAAAATAAACATCCAGGCCCACTTCAAATCCCGGCCACTTGAATTTCATTTAAAATTTCCATTGATTAATGCTAGAGAAATATGTATTTAATAGTCATTCTTGGGCTAAAACCAAAATATGAAACCCGTTCGTAGATGTAAGACGCGGAAACTCTTGAAATAGCACGCACAAGTTGTTGTTTTCGTTTCGGATTGGTTTCCGTTTGCGTTTATTTAGATAGCGTGTTGATTTACAGATTGTGGTCCAGCTTGGTACAATACCAATTTTGGACAAAATTTAAAGAAATAAACTCACATTTAAAGTAAACCAAGTTCCGCGGCATCTAGCCTGGTTTGAAGTTGAATGTCTATCTGCATATTGCCGACTTTCTGGTAACATAGGTCACGTATATTGTCAGTCCTCCTTTCCTATTTTTCTTTGTAAGTTGTTTTTGAGGGGGAAAGGGCTATTCAGTCTCCAAATGGGCCATGTCAATGGCACTTTTGACATTTTATGTGAATGTTTTTGCTGTTGACTTTCCCGATGGGGTTGTACATGTTTTCCCGCCTTTCTGTTTCGAAAACAGACGCACACATATGTTGACGGATAAATATTGTAGTTAAAAATGGAAAGAACTTCATTCGTATTTCCGTTTTAGGCCAATTGAACTATTATAGTCTTACAAAAATTTTATTAATTTGAAATTTAACAAGTAAAAGAAGTAGTAGGACTAAAACTTAAAAATAAGAGACAGTCTCTTTGTCCTTTCCACTATCCCTAGACTTGGGCTTACTTAGCGGTAGATCGTAATATTAAATATTTAGGAGCGAATGAGAACTCTTGCTTTTTACGTTGAATATCACAAGTTGAATCTAGCGTTTGATATATTGATATTTTAAGTAGGGTAAGGTGGGGTAAAGCCGACCTAGTAAATGGTTTTGGCTATAAAATGTTTATTTTACATCGGATAAAGTCGTTATATATGTATACCAAATTAAAGGTTAGACTTTTGCGCAACGTTCTATGCATAGCATTTTATTCATACCTTTGAAAAGTTTTGAGATACAAGCGTTTTACGAAAAAGTTCATTTTTGCTATGTTCAAACCCGACCGCCTATGTTTTTGGTTGATTTAGTACAGATATAACCTAAATATAGGTTTTGCAATGATAAATCAATCAATGTTATGTTATATAATGGTAATAAAAGATAAAAGAATTAAAAAAATTAAAATAGCAAAATAATTAATCAGTATCATCTGATTCGCTGCTCAAATAGCTTGCTGGCGTTTTTTGGTTCGAGTTAAACGTCTGGTTGGCTGCGATGTTGATGGTTTTGGTGTGATTGTTGTTTTTTTTTGATTTTTTGCGGCAGGATTTACCCCACTATTTAGAGGTCGGATTTGCCCCACCACGTAATTTTTCATAAAAACGCAATTAAAAAAGAAATTATAAAAAAAAATTAACCAAACTTATATGCACTTTGTAGGACTTTATTCAAAGAATCTAAATCCACTTACCTTTTCATGCGATAACTTTGACAAAAAGAAATATCCTGCAGTTAATTATGCACAAAAATGAAATTCAAAATTGTGAAAACAAACTTGTTGTCGTTTGACCATCTCAATGTTGACTAATAAAATGCTGTCATACCACCATTTACATTGATTTCGATGCTCTACACGACAACACTAATATTATTTTGCGTAGTGCTTCCGATTTTCGAAAACAGAGGGAGGTCGGGTTTACCCACACTGTCGGATTTACCCCACCTTACCCTATATAAAAGGTATTATTTAATAAAGAATGTATTTGTTTAATTTAATTATATATTTAGCAAAAATGACAACCTTTTTTTTTTTTTTTTTTTTTTTTTTTTGGGGAGGAGGGGGAATGCCTCACGCATCTTCCCATTTGCCGTCGCAAAAAGGAGTATGTGGGGCTTGCACCCACTAAACCCCCCCCTCGTCGTTGGCCGTGTTTCCACCTCGGAAAAGCTTTCGCATTACTTCGAGGTGGCGCCAGTTAAGCGCTATACGCTCTCATCTTCTAACTGCGTCCAGGTTACCCAGCTGTCTCATCCAGATCAGGCTTCTTTGCTCGAAGGATGTTCTCCACGAATCTTGCGATGTGCTTCCATGCCGCTTCGCTGCCAACCATTTTTGTCACAATACTTTCAGGGGTTATTGTCCCAACCACTTCTTCCAAGGTCCTGCGCGCCGGTCCGAATTTTTCGCATTGAAAGATGGTGTGTTCAGCGCTGTCGATCTCCGCATCTCCGTATATGCATCTGGCATCTGTTCTTTTCCCTATCTTGTGTAGAAAGGAGGCAAAGTAGCCATGGCCTTTCAGCATCTGCGTGACGTAGTAATCCACGTCTCCGTGTTTCCTTGCGGTCCATGCTACCAGGTTTGGTAGCAGCCTAGCTGTCCATCTGCCTCTCCCTTCTGCTGTCCATCTTTCCTGCCATTGTCGGAGGGTTTCCTCTCTGGTCCGCTCGATTAGTGTCCTCGTCGTGTCTCCATCTTTTCGTCTTTCGTATATCCTTTTTCGCGCTTTGGCTAAAAGGTCGATTGGTATCGTGCCTGCAACTACTAGTGCCGCCGGACCGGATACCGTTCGATACGCGCTCGCGATTCGTAAAGCTATCGTTCTTTGCACCTCCTGTAGAGGTTTTGTCCTGCAGGCTATCTCAAGGGTCCCTGCCCAGATCTCGCATCCGTACAGCATGATTGCGTGGTTTATCTCCATTAGAAGCTTTCGTCTTGATGGTAATGGGCCGCCCACGTTGGCCATGAGTCTGCTAAGCGCCTTTGTAGTCTCGGTCGCTCTTTTCTTCGCCCCTTGTATGTGTGCACTAAATGTTAGTTTTGAGTCAAGTTTTACTCCTAGGTACTTTATGACCTTCTGCGTCCTTATAACATTTTCCCCTACTCTCATATCTATTTCTAGGGGGATCCTTCTCCTGGTAGCTAATAATAGCTCCGTTTTTTCATCCGCAAGTTTTAGATCGTGTGAGTTCAGCCATCTTTTTATACGTATCATTACTTGCGTCAGCTTGCGTTGTGCATACTCGGTATTCCGCGCTGTAATGACTGCGACTATTTCGTCTGCGTATCCCACGATAGTCGTGTCCTCTGGGATGTCTAGGTGGAAAATTTCGTCATAGCTGATGCTCCATAGCTCTGGTCCAAGTATTGATCCTTGTGCGGCTCCTGAAGTTATCTGCATGCCCCTGCTTTTGTTTGATACAGTAGTCGTCGGTTGTCAAGATAGTCCTGTATTATCCGAATCAGGTATCCTGGGATTTGGAATCGTCTTTTCAGAGCATCAATTATGTTGTCCCATCTAACGCTGTTGAAGGCGTTTTTAACGTCCAGAGTGGCCAGGAGCACTACCGGTCTCGAGAAGTGGTTGCCCTGTTGGCTGCTGAGAGCTTGGTTCACGACTTCTTGGATTGCTCCAATGGTCGATCTTCCTGGTCTAAATCCATACTGCCTCGGGGAAAGACCCCCTCCTCTTTCGATCGCTGCTGCTAGTCGTGGCTTGACCAATTTCTCTAGTAGCTTCCCGGTTGTGTTAAGCATGCATAATGGCCGATAAGCTGACGGGGTTAGGGGGTCTCCCTTGCCCTTGCTTATCAGGACCAATCGTTGCACCTTCCAAATGTCTGGGAATTTCCCGCTGGTAATGCATTCGTTATACATATCCAATAGGATATGGGGTCGGTTCTCCGCGATCGCTATTAGGGCTTCTGCTGGAATGTTGTCGGGCCCTGGGGCCTTCTTCCTTTTTAAGGTTTTTGTCGCTTTCAGTAGCTCGTCCTCAGTGAAGAGCTCGATCTGGTGTTCGGCTATAGGTGGAGTAGTCCTTGCTATGCTATTTGTATGGGCGGGAAATAGTGCTTTGACTTTTTGGTCCATTTGCTCTTCTTCTAGATCCGGTGTTGAATTTCTTGTTCTGAGCTTCTTCATCACGATTTTATATCCGAGCCCCCATGGGTCACTATTGACATCGTTGCAGAGGCGTTTCCATTTCTCCGTTTTGCTTTTTCGGATGGCAATATTTAAATCCTTCTTGGATTTCTTAAATTGGCTCTCTTCTTCTGTAAAGATCCCTCTCCGTCTAGCCCTCGTAAGGCGGCGTCTGTTTTTTATACACGTTTCTCTGAGAGCTTTTATCTCTTGGGTCCACCAGTACGCTTCTTGTCCTTGTCTGTGACGATTGCCCATTTTTGGCATTGCAGCGTTGCAGGCCTGCCTTATGGTTGTCATGTTGTTGCTGATTATGTTACCGCCTCTCTGTCGGTTCAGCCTTGCGTCAATTTCTCGAATAAGCTTTCCTTTGTCCAATCGATTAGCGTTCCATCCTTTCCTCGTTGGTGCTAATGTAGTCACTTCGTTTTCTGCTATGTCAAACATAATATAGCAGTGGTCACTTCCGTTGTAGGTATCAAGGACTTTCCAGTCGGCGATTTTGTGCGCGCGGTTTTCTGTCACTAGTATTATGTCGGGGATTGTGCCCACGTTCCCTACTCGATTGAATGTGGGTATTGCACCTACATTTGCTGTTAGCATCCCGGTTCTTGCGGCCATGTTTAGGACTCTACGGCCTCGAGAATCAGTTGATGGCATACCCCATTCCTGCGCTCTTGAGTTAAAGTCCCCAGCTATTATAAGGTTTCCACCTATATGCCTTGCGTTGTCTTCAATATCTTCAAGTTTCGTCTGGAAGGTCTGAATGTCGTCACTTGGGGTTAAATAGCAGCTGAATATCGTCCAGTTTCTAATTTGTGTGATGACGTGGCATCTTCCTTTTTTGTCACTTCTGTGTGGAGTCGTGGTGGGGTCCGGAATCCATATGGCCGCCGTCTTTGTGTCGTCTTCCAGCCAGAATCCTTCCTCCCGTTTCTTGTAGTGTTCGCTTATGATAACAACGTCAATTTGGTTTTCCAGCACGATTTGGTGCAGTAGGTCATTTGCCATTCTGCTTCTATGCATATTTGAATGCATACATAATGACAACCTTAAAGCTACATTTTTTATATCTATCTATTATCTGCTGACATCCATACTACATTACTAAATATGAACAACTTTGGTTAAGTTTTAGGGGTTTTATGTTTGAATACAATTAAGATTTGACCATAATTTTGCAAAAAAACAAGCTCGCAAAATATCTCGAATGAAATCACCGCCTAGCCGGAGTGTTGGAGAAGCTGAGCAAGTGCTGCAGTGCAGAATATCGTCTTCTTCGGCACTCCCACTAGAGGGCAAGCTACTTGGGTTTTGTTTGTATGTTTGATTTTTGATGCCTCATGTCCCGATAGATATCGTCCACAGTTGGCTTTTCGGAATCCGACGAGCTCTCCGGCGTCTTAACGTCGAAGTGACGGGCCCATTTCCAGTGGTCGTGCGAGGTCTTGATCAGTCCCTGCGCCTTGATATACCTCTCGATCTCCTCTTTGGCCTTTTTGGCGAACATGGTAGTGTGGTCGGGAAGCCGCTTATCATACGTCGTGGCCGCCATCATCGTGTCGCTCATTTTCTTACCCTTCCTCGCGATGGTGTACTCGCCCTCGTCGAACAGCCTACGCCGTTCCGCGAAGCTCGCGAGGGAATCTACGCTCATACGGCTGTTCGGGACACTGTAGTCGAGCCGGGTGACTCGCATGCTGACATCGCTTAGCCGTTCGCAGTCCAGCGTCGTATCCGGCTGGATCATAATGACGGTCGACGCGTCCCTCAGCATGACCTTCTTTCTTCGCGTCCTCGGCCGCTCCTCCGGCGACGGCGAACCCGATTCCGGATGGTGCAGGTTCACCTCGATGAGGCGGGTGGACAGCGCCTTGACATTCAGGGCCACGGACTTGACGGGATGCGGGGTGCCGGTGGACAACAAATTCTTGTAATTTAAGTTTGTTATCTGGGAACCCATATGGACGCTCTGGATCGATGGATATGTATAGGTTAAAGATTAATTGGGCTTTTAGAATCGCACAACCAAACCTTTTGACTTGAAACACGAGTGGGCTTATTATTTTTAAAGTCATAACCGCTCATCCTGTCCTTCGTAGAGAAACGCTCGCTATTATTGTCAGACATATTTGAAATGACCGACTTTCTAAACTCGAAATGGCGACGCATCGATAGGCGGGCCTTAAGCAAGTTGGCGTCCACGCCTGGATCGACGTGGGGATACGGGGTCTGGGCTTTGTTGGTGGTCCGCATCAGTCCGTAATCCTTGGCTGCGATCTCCACCTTATCCTGAGTCGTGAACTCCAGATGGCTTTCCTTCTTGCGGCTTTCCGGGACGAGTCTCTTCTTCATTTTGTATAGCGTATTAGTTAGTTAATGAACAAGGAATCGGTTGGTTTTAAATGTTATTTATTGTTTCTTTTATTTTCTTTTTTTCGTGGATTTTGTTGGTTATTTTTGGTTAGTGTTATTCCTAGAAATAATTGTGACAACTAGCCACCAGTGGACTGGATTTAAAGGGATAGGGTCCAGTTTGCCACCTAAACTAACCGCTCTAGCGTCTTGCGTTGCCAAAGGTAAACAAGTAAAAAAGGTAAACAGTGCACATTGGGATGAAATGCTTTTATTTTGGCAACAACCGTAATTTTAAAGCTAGAAAGTTGAAACTTGGAGAATTTGCTGCTTATATTATTTGTGAATTTCGGTTTTTTTTTTTTACACTGCCACCTTTCCTTCCCTGCCGCCCTCATAATAGAACTGCAGTATATTCATATAAAATTCATATTAATGTTGTTATATTTTTTTTTTGTTGCATTTTTTTATCCATAATTGTTAGAAAATTTTTTATTTTAATATTTTTGCATATTATAACTTAATTTGATAAACGAAAACTTAAAAATAAGTACATAAACTTGTATTAATATAAACGTTCTTCGTCTAAATCAAAATCTAAATATGGTATACTTGTAAGGTTGTCTTTAATATTATATACTTGGGCTGCATCTTCTGGATTTGGAGAAGCTAAAAGTGCAATAACTTCACTTGGCAATGAGTGTGATTTTGAACTCTTTTTTTGAGCGATGCTTGATAAGTAAGGATCAGAAGAATTTAAAGCTCGATGAAATACGTCAGTTAAATTGTTCACTCGGCTATTTTTCCTCGCATGCAAATCAAAAAGTCGCGATGACATTGCGATTACAGCCAAACTTCCTGTAAGTCACCTCGACGAATTTCAACCTGGCTCGCATCTGTTGAAATATCAAACCCCCCCGCAAGTTCCCGCAAATTATTTAATTGCTATCTGAATATACACATAATAACACATACTACCACATAAGCTGTTATTTGAATCCTGTTGTATCTTGCTAGATATGCTCCACGAAACACAAATATTTTAAGGTTAGAATCAACAAAACTAGTGTTTACGTATTTCATTAAAAGCATGACAAAACAAAAGCACAAATAATTAAACACTTATACAGATATTTTCTACATACAATGTGAAACATTTTCCATTTTAAGGTATTTTAATTGGTCAAACTGTTTAAGAATACGAGAACGTCAAAGTTAAGGAACTTGTCTAATCAGCAAACTTGCACGCACTACGTGGCAAGAACAGTTGACTTTCAAGGGCTGGTGGAAGACAACGGCTGGACAATAAAATACCAATTAAATATTTTTGATGTCTAGGGACATTTCTTAGCTTAAAATAATTGTAACAATATTGATATATTAACACGAATTTTTTAGGTTTTGGCCAAAATAAAGGCATTTCATCCCAATGTGCAGTGTATAAAACAAATGCTATTCACCCATTTACAAATTAAAACACGTAAGCATACTTTACATTAATAAAAGAACACAATTTCAGTTTTTCTTAAACATATGCATAAACCCCGAGATATTATTGCTTATAACAATTTCAAAATATTTTAAATTTGATCAAAATGTATGTACATATGTATGTATATATCGCATATAGCAGTCGTAGAAGCAATCAGAATTTGGTCATATGTACATAAGTGCCTATTAAAATCAACAAAAGTTTGGTTTTCTTTTTAAATATTCAATTTCTTCAGAGACGTCCACTCCGGCCAAAAAATTAAAAGTTCTCAAAAATCATTAATATTTTGTAATATAGTTATTATTAAGAAATGCTTAAATTGATCAATTAGAATCATTTTTAAGAGGCACCAGTGATTAAAAGTTAAAAATTAGTTGCCTTAAAATATTGCCACTGGATTGGTATAGCTCAAAACCCCGTTTTATGTCCTCTGCGAATCACTTAATTTTGCAATAGTTTAAAAATGAAAAACTTCCCAAAATTAATCTTTGTATGTTAAGGCTTTTATCAAAATCGTTTCCTTTCTAAAGTTTTTTAAATAATGCGTACGAATGTTCCGTGCGTAATTTCGGAATTGAATTAATTCTTAATTATCCAATTACAAACTATGAGGGCATATCAACATGGAAAATAAGACTCTCCAAATATTGAAGAAAAGAGAAAAAATTTTTTTTTTTTTTTGAAATCTACGTTTTCTTTTTGAAGTGTAAAGTAAGCAGTTCGTAAGCAGGTCGGCCATGGTTTGTGCCTTTGCTAAAGGGTTTTGTCCACGCTGCACAGTGACCGATTTGGCTGTTCTAGCTGCAGATTAAGAATATTTTCAACTGTTAAAATTAATAAAAGTTTTGTTTTCTATCAAAAGTAATATAATCATTTATAAAAAAATATATATTAAAACCGATAATTTCGATTAACTAGATCAGCTGTTGCTGCACATATGCAGTAAAAAAAAATGTTCAAAACCATCAATGTTTGTAGCCCCCTATTTGAAAGCATGTTACAGCTTATGTAGAGTAAATCTTTGTGAAGCTCGTCCCGGCCCGCAAAAAGTGTATAACTGTGGTAAACTATGGTTCGTCTAGTGTGTAAATTAACCAAAATCAGCTGCCCTTACGTACCCCTGCTAAAGTTTAGAATATTTTCAGAAATCATTTCGGTCTGCAAACTAGCACTTTTTGCAAGATGGCATGGGGAAACAAACACCGGGAAGAAGAATTCTGTACTGGTTGAGCATATTTTTGAAAATTTTATTGACAAATCCAAATGTTCTGAGTCTGACATTTGGCCCTTCTGAGTGATGACAGTAGATTGAATATAACCCGAAAGAATAAGAATTTTACTGATTACCACCCAAGATCCCAAACTTCAAAAATTTCTCATATAGTAGAAGCAAACTCTTCTAAAGAGCAAAGGAGTTTCTTTTGACATTGAAGGTCAAAATCTACTTGTAGACTACAATATACAAAAAGAAAATTCCGATTCAGACTCGGAAAATTTAAATTTATTTGTTTGTGGCTTTTTTATACCCTTGCAGGGTATTATAATTTCAGTCAGAAGTTTGCAACGCAGTGAAGGAGACCTTTCCGACCTTATAAAGTATATATATTCTTGATCAGCATCAACAGCCGAGTCGATCTAGCCATGTCCGTCTGTCCGTCCGTCTGTCCGTTTCTACGCAAACTAGTCTCTCAGTTTTAAAGCTATCTGAATGAAACTTTGCATATAGTCTTCTATATACTCTCACTGCTATATATGTCGGAACGGGCCGGATCGGACGACTATATCATATAGCTCCCATACAAATGATCGAAAAATTTTTAGAAAAAAAATTATAACTTGGCTGTTTATCATTTTGCACCATTCTTTAGATATGATCATTTTATATTATTTCAGAATTTCGGTAAAAATTTCATGAAAATCGGACAACTATATCTCATAGCTGCCATAGGAACGATCGGGAAATTAATAGAAAAAACATTATAACTTCGTCGTTTTTCAACCTATTTTTATCTACTCTGCGATATAAGCTTATTTTATTAGTTCAGAATTTTGGTATAAATTTTATGAAAATCGGACAACTATATCATATAGCTGCCATATAAACCGATCGGTAGATGTAGAGAAAATGTAAAACTGGGAATGTAAAACTGTAACTGTCAAACTCTAAACAGAAAGTATAGGTTAAATTTAATGAAATAATATCTGCAAGGGTATACAAACTTCGGCGTGCCGAAGTTAGCTTCCTTTCTTGTTTTAAAATAACATCTTTAAAAACAAAATAAAAATTCATTAAAAAACAAGAAAGGAAGCTAACTTCGGCACGCCGAAGTTTGTATACCCTTGCAGATATTATTTCATTGCATTCTACCTATACTTATTATGTTGAGAGTTTGACATATCTAAAAAATGGTGCAAAAATGTTGATAAACAGCCAAGTTATAATTTTTTTTCCAAAAATTTATCGATCATTTGTATGGGAGCTATATGATATAGTCGTCCGATTTTCATAAAATTTTTACCAAAGTTCAGAAATAATATAAAATGGTCATATGTAAAAAATAGTGCACATATGTTGGAAAACAGCTAAGTTATAATTTTTTTTCTAAAAATTTATCGAACATTTGTATGGCAGCTATATGATATAGTCGTCCGATCCGGCCCGTTCCGACATATATAGCAGTGAGAGCATATAGAAGACTATATGCAAAGTTTCATTCAGATAGCTTTAAAACTGAGGGACTAGTTTGCGTAGAAACAGACAGACAGACAGACGGACAGACAGACAGACGGACAGACGGACAGACGGACAGACGGACAGACGGACAGACGGACAGACAGACAGACGGACAGACGGACAGACGGACAGACGGACATGGCTAGATCGACTCGGCTGTTGATGCTGATGAAGAATATATATACTTTATAGGGTCGGAAACGTCTCCTTCACTGCGTTGCAAACTTCTGACTGAAATTATAATACCCTGCAAGGGTATAAAAATTAAAAATTAAAAAAAAAAAATTTTTTAATTAAAAGTAAATTAAATTAAAGGTGTGAAGTTTTATTTTTTTATAGGTAAAAATTTCATAAAAATTGCAAACTTGGTAAATTTATCTTTACTTTTTATGAAATGCCAAATTGGCCACTGTGCGTTGTTGGTTCGCTGAAAAAAGCAGACTGAAACGGAAGCTTGCGAAAGCTCTAATCGTTAGCTTTAGCCGAGCTTTTGGGTTTAGACGTTTGAAACAGCTGTTGGACAAAAAATAAGGAACATTTGAAAATAAATCGTTCAGCGGCAAGGAAGTAAACAAGGCGCCAAGTGGGAATCCCCTTTAAAATACAAAAAAAAAAAAAATTGCAATCAACTACAAAAATAAATAAAAACAAATAAAATAAATGATTATAACTACAACAATTAACCTAAACATGTGGAGATAACGATAAAAGCAAGGCTTTAAACGGTAATCAGCTTTTGAATATAGTTTTAAAAGATCAAGTTTAAAATGAAAAATAAACAATAAAAGCAGAACCCGTCCAGCAAAAACTTGTGCCAAAATAATAAATTAAAACCCATCAAGGTCATCATCCATCACCCAAGATGAGACTTTAAAAGCACTTTCCTTTCCGCCTAAATGTCACTGTGTACTTTTTGTTTGTCTTAAAGTCGTCCCTAGGCTCGTCCCTAACGAGGAAAAGGGAAGCCTAACTGAGTGGCAACTGAAAAGACAGGATGGCCAAGAAGACGGGGCCCAGAATTTCACGCTTTCTTTGGCTTTTAATGAATTATGACGTTTTCCTGGTAGAACCAGCCCCTCGGTGTGTGATTGAAAGTGCGGGCGTGTAAGAGGAAGGAAACACAGGAGCGACTGTTATCAGCGCTTTTCCCTTTTCTGTATGTTTTATATTTTCCTTTATGTAGACTTTTTTTTATATTTTATACAATATTTTCTACCATTTTGCACCTGTTCCGTCAATGCCACAAAAGGGTGTGCAAAGAGTGTATGTATGAGCCTACCTGGGACATTCATCAGAATGAGTGAAAAGAAATTTTACACTTAACGTGTTTTCCACTCCTACTTCACAGTGTTTTCCGAGTGTATGTGTTGTTGTTGTCAGCGGTGTTATTATTCCTTTCTGGTTTTCTTTTTTCCGTTCCTTCAGCAAAAATATACACGTTACAAAAATTTTTAACAACGTATCCTGTGGCCTTGAAAAATTAAAAAAAAGAGGACTCCAACTCGCAGAACAAATCATTAGACAAAAAAAATAATGGATAATCTCCACAAATTTCTTTTCAATATTTTAATATACAGTAGAATTATTACAAATAAAAGAAAAATCTGTTTTTGTTGCTAAATTTCTCCCAGTGTATATATTTGCTTAACAGCTTCTTGTGTGCTTGGAACTCTCATTCATTCAGTCGCTCACTCACTCTAAATGCTTTCAGACGCCTCAACTTGACACGGCCAGCGTGCCGGCGTGCTAGGCCCCAAGTCTCGGGTCCGGCGTGGTCCTTTTGGTCCTCTTGGTGGGGAAAACCAGTTTCAGCTGCCCTCATTGGACTAGGCGGCATTTGTCGCCCAAATCCCTAGTCCTCGCAGACCAGCCTAATCCTGCTAAGGGACACTGCGAAAACTACAAACCAAAACAGCAAAAAAATATATATAAAAGATAAAGCCAACGTGTCTTCTTTTTCGGTCTTGTTTTGGTTTTGTTTTCACGGATTATTGGCAAACTCGGGCCTGGAAAAAGTTTCATAACTGTCGGCAGGACTTCAGACTGCTCCTTCCACCTGATCCTTTCCTCTTTTCCTCCTTTCGTTTACTTTGCCTTGCGCCTACTTAAGCTTTTCTCTGCATTTTCCCTTCTACGCCTTTCACTCAAGTATTTCAAGTGTTTCCCCTTTGATTTTTCAAGTTCTGAAATATTTGCACCATGGTTGACTCTCAATGGGCTGCAATTGAAAATTGCCATTTAATATAAGAAAGGTGGGGTGGAAAAGTTGAGGAAAATGCGTAACAAAGAACTTTATTTGTGGAGTTGAAATAATATTATTGTGTGGAGTCATTGGTTGTGGGTTCTACATTGGTTTTTGCAGATAGAGCAAAGTCGATAAATATTTAAATAATGAATATATTTACTCTAAGCTATTCTTAGAAATTCAGGAATAGTGTAAAGTAAAAGGTCTGAAAACTAGCTTTTTTAATTCATTTGTTATAAACTGTGCCAATAATCTAGAATAGTTTCCGACTTAATATCACTGTGCCATCGCTCAACGAAGGAACTTGAGACTTTTGCTTCATTGAAATAGTTTTTCATTTACTTAAGTTTTGCTGAAATGTGCAACAACGTCCAGGGAAGAAGCACCACAGAAAAGAAATGAAATATAGACGGCTGTAGAGCGATGAGAGTGATAGGAAAAGCCCATCCAGCATTTGAATCGTGGCTACAGTGACCCCAATAAGTATGCCGCCAAGTTGTGGTCAGAGTCGGGAGCAGTGCAAACCGCAGCTGCTGCTGTTTAATGAGCAGAGTAACCCGTCATCAGCAGAAAAGCCATCATGTGGGTGGGTTCGGGGAAAAAGGACCCGCTAATTAGCCAGCAGTTTTCCCTTTACCTCGTTTTTCCTGCCACCTAAATTCAATTTGTCCCATTTTTGCATATTCGCAGAGTACAATAACGAACCGAGCGGGACTGGAGCGTTGGCCGGCAGCTTCGACAAGTCGGTGCTGCAAATTTCCGACTGGCTGACTTGGGAACAAAACATGATCAAGATACAGAGCGTCCTCATCGACGACGTCGATGCGGTGCGCCTGGCCATCGAGAAGCAGGAGGTGCGTACCATGAAACACTAGGATGGACAGAACATACTCCAACTCAACTCATACCCATCCATGTATTTGTCCTTGTTCTGTTCACAGAAAGTTCTGCGTGAGCTGAAAATGAAAAAGCCGCAGCTCAACGAACTGGTTCACACCGCGGAAGTGCTCAAAGGCGACATCAAGCGTCAGCAGTTGCAGGAGAAAGGTGAGTTCGGGGTAGAGCTAGGGGGGTTTCGAAAGTACAACTATATAGGGGTTCCTTGGGATATTACATGGGTCAGTTCTGCGGGCTTGAACTACTTACACGGGTCAAGTTTTTCTCACTGAGAATAATAAATTAAGAGCAGGAATTTTATGTTTTAAAGGAGACAAAATTCCTATATAATAAATATATCTGTAAGTTATATGTTGATCCCGATCCAACTTCTCAGTATTATTATAATTCTCAAGTAACAAAAGAAAAGTTTTGTTAAGTAAGCATAAGTAGAATTAGTTTTTTATTATACCCTGCAAGGGTATTGAACCGGCGATATTAAAATATATTTCGTGTAACTGAAAGAAAATGGGATGTGCAAATAAATCTGCATTTTTGTAAATACTTTTGACTACTTCTGTATATGGGCATTTCCACAGAAATATCAACCGCGGCCAAAAAACTAAAACTTCTCTAAAATGTTTTTTTTTCCAACATAGAAACATTAGGAAAAGGTCAATTGATTAAATTTGAAGGGCTTTATCATATTCTAAAACAAATTTCGAAATATTCGAATGCATATTCGCGCAAACACGATTTTTCATTATTTTTATGAAAAACATCATAAAAATGGGCCTGTTTTCTTTTGATAATTACATCCAAACCGAGGCATTATGCTTTGACTGTTTTTTACTAACATCACAATAAGAATGCAAAAAGTCGAAATAAAATGGATATATGCTCTTCTAATTTACTTAAATAGTATAAAATTACATGCAAAGTATGATGATAAAAACTGTCGCGTGCGACACCTTATTAAAATTCAATAAAAAATAAACTACGCTAAATTTCTGATTGTAAATTAAAGCATATGAAAATGACATTATCGCATAACATTTTAAAATTTGTTTCATTAAAATATTCCCAGCCGTTTCGCTAAAATCAGTGTTTAAACAGCTCGCCGCGTAAAGTGACTTCTGTTTTTGTCGCGTGCGAACCCTTCAATTTTTTTAAATTTCTTAAATTTGAGCATACACTCAAAATCAACACTAACACCAATTATAGCCCTAGGCAAGAGCTATAAGTTAATATTTTTAAAAGAAATAAAAATAAAATGTACCATACTTTTTTTTTGCTTTGAATGCGTACGAATGTCGCGTGCGACACCATGGAAATGCCCATATAGTCATCCGATTTATATAAAATTGAAAACGAAATTCTAGAATAATAAAAAATAGCCATTTGAAATTATTTGAAAATATTAAAAAAAAGTCAAAGTTCTAATTTTTTTCCTCCAAATTTTTCAATCGTTCCTATGCTAGCTATATGATATAGTCGTGCGATCCGGCCCATTCCGACTTATACACGAGTGAGAGTAGTAAAAAGGCTATCTACAAAATTTCATTCAGATAGCTCCAAAACTGAGAGATTAACGGATAAACTGACATGTCTAGATCGACTAGGCTGTTGGTGCTGATCAAGAATATATACACCTAAAAAGGTCGAAGATGATTGCCATCTTCTGACACAATTATAATACCTTGTAAGGGTATAAAAGTATATGTAAACTTACAAGTATTTCAGTTAATTCCCAAACGTTGTTAAATTCCTCTACTCTAAGTAAAGAATTGATTGTTCAAAATTATCTTATTGGTTGTCCCATCGAATGCACTTTTTAATGAATTAATGAATTTTCCATTTATTTCCATCATCATGTAGCACGCCCGATGGAGAGCGTTTTTTTTTTTTTTTTTTTTTTTTTTTTTTTAGGCTTTGCTTTTATTTATTGAATCTTCTCACTTATGAGACTAACAATAAGTGTATCAAATCTTACAATACTACCTAACTAGCAGTCATGAGACTGGTACAGAGTAAATGGCCCTGAATAATTATGGCTGGGTTGGATGGTCGTTACGTAGTAGGCGGCTTCTTCTGGAAACTTTTATCAAGTCCCTTGCTAAAGGATTTGGATGGGTGGAGAGTTTTTCCTTGTAGGACGCTTTTTGTTTTTCTATTTCGTTCTTAACTGCAGGAATGCCGAGATCCCTGTGGATGTTTTCGTTGCGAATATACCATGGTGCCCCAGTGATAGTTCTCAGGATTTTTGATTGGGCGCGCTGTATGATGTCTACATTGGTACTGCACGCGTTCCCCCAGAGCTGGGAGCCATACGTCCATATTGGCTTTAGTGTGGAGTTGTAGAGCAGGACCTTGTAGTCCAGACACAGGGGCGATCGGGAGTTTATGAGCCAGTGGAGGCTGCTGGCTTTTAGTTTTAGATGAAGTTTCTTGCATTGAATATGTCTTCGCCATGTTAGGCGTCTGTCCAGGTGGACGCCCAGGTACGTTACCACGTTGACTTCGGGGATCAGTGTGCTGTTCAGGTAGAGCGGGGGGCATGTTTGTCTGTTGAGGGTGAACGTTATGTGCTTACACTTTTGTTCATTTATTTTAATACGCCAATCAGATAGCCACTTCTCGACTACCTTGAGGTGGTTGGCGAGCTGGGCTGTTGCACGGACTGGGCATCTGGAACGGCTGAGGATCGCAGTGTCATCAGCGAAAGTGGATAATGTTAGCTGGTCGCTTGTGGGGATATCCGCTGTGTATAGAACAAATAGGGTAGGCCCAAGTGCACTTCCTTGTGGGACTCCAGCTTCGATTGAATAGGTGCCGGATGTTGTTGCGTTGCACCTCACTGCGAAGACTCTGTTGTAGAGATACGACTCAAGTAATTTGTGTGTGTATACCGGCAAGAGTGTTTTTATTTTGTGCATGAGGCCGTTGAGCCAGACGCGGTCGAATGCTTGAGAAACGTCGAGAAATATCGCGCTGCAATATTCTCGATGCTCGAAGGCTGTGCGAATTTCTGATGTTATTCTGTTAACTTGCTCGATAGTTCCATGTTTTTCTCTGAAGCCAAATTGATGAGCTGGGATAATGTTGTGAGCTCCCAGATAAGGGATTATGCGCTTTAGTAGGCATTTTTCAAATAATTTGGACAAGCATGATAGTAGACTTATTGGTCGGTAAGATGACGGAATCGTGTGGTCTTTTCCGGGCTTCGGTATCATTATAATTATAGATTTTTTCCATTTTGTTGGGTAATGGCCGAGACTTATGATCCCATTGAAGATTTTACAGATGACCTCAATAGCACAATTCGGAAGTTCAATTATCATTTTTTGAGTTATTAGGTCAACGCCGGGAGCCTTTTTCGGCTTCAGTTCCCTGATGACCTTCGTTATCTCGTTCGGACGAAATGATGCTGGAGTAGATTCCGTTTCAGTGTGGATTTGCGGTAGATCAAATGGATTTGCAGCAGGGTTCGGCTGGAAAACGCCCTGGAGATGTGAGGCAAAAGTTTCGGCTCTGTCTTTGTCGCTGCGGGCCCAGCAACCAGATGACATTCTTATCGGGGTGATGGTTTCAGCCGGTGAGCTTAAATTTGGGTGAGCTCTCCATAAGGGATGCTTTGTGCTGGTTGGCGAGAGTTTTTCAATATATCTTAATTGTGCTTTTTCGGCATCTTGCTTCAGGGCCCGGCTTAGTTTGCGTGTGGCTTCATTTAGACGTTGCTTTGTGCATGGCGATCTATTGGTTTGCCACGCCCGTCGCAGACGCCTCTTTTCTTGGATAAGCTGTTCAATTTGCTGGTTCGTTTTGAATTTGATCTTTTGCACATCCGTCTGTTGTGGTGTTGAGATTCTGGCTGCAGTCACAAGTACCTCTTCCAGTGCGGAGGTGGAGGAGTCGATGTCGGTTTCAGTATTGAGCTGGGGGGGCTAGCTCAATGTGGGAACTCACATACTTTTTGTATTTCATCCAATTGGTTCTGTGCGACGTCAGCCTATAGGGGCGATCCGTAGTTTCTGGGCTTTGAAGGAGGGTTATCAACAGCGGCGAGTGATCTGAAGAAAGGTCTGGAAGGGCCTTGGCGTTTATTAAATTTCGTGGGATGTTTTTTGTCACCGCGAAGTCAATTAGGTCGGGTATCTTTCTGGGGTCTGCTGGCCAATATGTGGGGCTACCAGGGGAAACGTAGTCCAGCTTATTTCTCACATTGATGAGAGCGTTGTACAGTTGTCTTCCCTTGGGGGTCACGAGGCGGGATCCCCAATGCGTATGCTTGGCGTTGTAATCTCCTGCAGCTATAAATCGATCTCCAAGTGAGTTGTAAAAATCCATGAATTGACCTTCAGAGATTGCAAAGCGAGGTGGGCAGTAGACGGCAGCAATGCAAAGGTTGCCGTTACCTGACTGCACTTTTATGGACGTAGCTTGCAGGTAATTTGTTGCAAACCTTTGGTGGAAGTGGTGTTTGATGCGTTCTCTGATAAGGATGCCGGTCCCGCCGTGGGCTTTACCATCTGGATGATCTGTGCGGTAGAAGGTATAACCTCTTATATGAAAGTTGTATCTGCTTGTGAGGTGCGTTTCAACCAGTAGCATGGCGTCGATGTGGTTTTCGTTTAGAAATTGTGTTAGTTCAAGAGTATGCCGTGAGACGCCATTGGCATTCCACGTGGATATACGTAGATTGGACATTGATTATTTTGACTGTTGTGCTACGAGCAGCTGTATCACCATATTCTGATTCTGGACGAGCGTTTGCATGGTCGTTTTCATAAATGACATGAGTTCCATCATGCTTTGTTGCATGGTCACCATCATGGATTCCATGTTGTTTCGTGGCTGCTCTGGGGCCTGCTGAGCATTTACTGAGTTTGAGGGGAGTGGGTTTTGCATACCTGTCCGTAGAGCTTCGGCGTAGGAGATGCCCGTGGGGGCATTTAGCGGACCAAAAGAAGATCTGGCTGCTTTGGCAAAAAATACATCTGGAGTAGTTTTTGAATTAAAATACACATTTTGTGTATTTTGTTGGCGTGTAGCTGTCGCCCTTCGCATGCGACTCTTCAGCTCCTTGTAGACCTCACAGCCTCTGTAGTTAGCTGTATGGTTTCCTCCGCAGTTTCCACATTTTTTCGTGTTGGGGTCTTCTTTGTTCGCAG